CATTTTTAGAATGAAACTGCACGACGTATGATAGTTAGTACAGTTCAGAGGAGACAAACTGACTGGAGGCTGTTTAAAGTAAATAAGAGGTTTAGATAAAGATAATCCCACATTTTTATCCTCTCCGTTTCTGACTTCTTGTCAGCAAATCTGTCCCCAATATTGTATGTTAACGGCTAAAGTGCATCTTGTGCATTTCTCTTTTTTTTACTTTCTTTATTTTTTTTTTCTGAATGCTCTGTTTACGTTGTGCTGCTTTCCACAACCTTGACAACTATTAGTCGTGTGTTTTTTCCAACACCGGACTGTTGTCTTGCTGAAGGACAGCTGCACTAACTAACTGAACTACTTTCACTTCCTTATTTAAGGAAACCAATAAAAATGTTTTTCCCTGTTCCAGTCTGAGCCTGGATCATGTCGTACAAGTTTGGGCCTTTGTTAATACAATCTATGAGAATTATGACCAAAGAAGGCGAACAAACTTTGAGTAGGTTCAGGAATGTTCTGGCTCCTCAGTATCCACAATCAACCAATAACAACAGAGAACAGTGTGAAATAATTAGACAATGGTAATAATAAAGGCTGTACAAATGTAGGTTAATATAGAGCTTTGGTAATAAAAAGAACGTCTATATTTTCTTTATTTCTGTGTTTATTGTGCGTTGATAGTGAAGTTGCTTTATTCAGCAAAAAAATGAAATAAAATTGTTTCTCAGTGTAAATCAAAAAGAAAAAATAAGTAGGTCCTCTGGATGGGTTCTTCTTTAGTGAAATGTTTCGTCTCTCCTCAAAGAGACTTCTTCAGTCTGATGAGTTTCAGGTGAACTCAGCCTTATAAGCACTGCCTCCACATGGACAAACAGGTTAGTCACATGCAAAAGAGGGCCATAGCCTAATAATAGGCTTGATTATTGTTAGGTGATGGGCCTCTTTCGCATGTGACTGAATAGAGCTAATCAAGCCTAYTGTTAGGCGATGGCCCTCTTTTACATATGACTAACCTGTTTGTCCATGTGGAGGCAGKGCTTATAAGGCTGAGTTCACCTGAAAGTCATCGGACTGAAGAAGTCTCTTGGAGGAGAGACGAAACGTTTCACTAAAGAAGAACCCATCCAGAGGACCTACTTATTTTTTCTTTTTCATTTTTTCTACCTGGATTACTGAGATGCATCAGGACGTTCCTCAGTGTAGTCCACAAAGTTTGCTTTCATGTGAAATATTGGATATGTGGCAGGAARTTGTTACTGAGATCATTTAAATGAGTGAATTTAATGAAAAGGAATACCATTCAGTCAAAAAGTATCTGGGAATCAGAGCACTAGGTCTGGAAATTCTCTCTCGACATCCAGCATTACAAAGTAATTCTGCTTTGATATCAATCAGGTTGTTTGAAAATGAACAACCYGTGTCAAACAGCTTGCTTCAGATAAGAATGGAATTGGCAGAAACTCAGGGTTTCTAATAAAAAAATACCTGCCAGAAAGCAGGTTTTGTAGAGTTTGCTACCGTGCCAGCAGACTCAGAGTTTAAGGGTCTCTGCAGTCAATGGCTGTGTCCAAATTCAGGGGATGGGTTCTCCGAAGGCCGAATGTGTCGGCTGCTTATGTCACAGCGCCGCACCTGCCGGAGGCTGTCCAAACAGGACAAATGTGCCCTCCTTTTTCCCCACTTTGATAGACGGAACTGATGGATCCTTCTCGGCCCACTATATCCCATAATGCACTGCGAGCCGACCAGAGATTTTATTTTCAGTTTGTAATGGTGGTATAACGAAATAAACATACACGCACGACGGGTCCCTTATTTCTTCAAATATTATATGTTATATTATATACTAATATATTAACATTTGCTAATTTCAATATATTTTTGATTCTGTTCAGAGTCGTCACGATTGCTAGGCGAAAGGAGATACACCGGAGCAATGGTGGGAATAAAGCAAAAGGCTAGGCTGTCCAAATTCACAGCCACTTTTTTCTGGTCTTCGTAGTCTACCATGCCCTTGAATTTGGTCACAACCAATGGTTTAGATAGGCCATGAT